AAAAGGTGAAAAAATGTTTTCCTCAAAAACATGGAAAATGCTGACGTGGCGGGTTGGGGAGGAAAATATTTTCCGTGGAAAATTTAGGCTATCAAACTGCGCAAAAGATGGAAAACGGAAAAAATTTTCCTAGTTCCCTAGAAAATTTCGCCAATTAAACAGGGCCTAATATAAATCTAAATTCTCTAGATTATGAGTTTTCTTATTTTACTCTTTCTATAATAAGAAAAAAGAACATGAATATTTTATATGTCTAGTTTGCGTTACAATCAATAATAAATACTCGTAATAATTAAACAGGAATGTAAAAATGATAAATCTATATGTACATAGTTATTGTACATAATAGATTACATAGGCCCATGTGGAAGAAATTCGACAGTGGATGTGAAGTGTGAAAAAGTAAAAATTTGTAGACTACCGATGGATGCGCACCACATGTCAATTATGTAATGTATTATGTAAATGATTATGTACTTGTAGCATGATCCATGTAAAAATGACTCGTTAAAAAATTGTACAGGTATTCTTGAGAGCTTCAACTCTTAAATTTGTTACAGTGAGAACAAAAAAAATAAAAAAAAGTGACGAATTGCCCCAATAATATGCTTCATATTAACTCTCTCAACTCCCCTCTAAACCCTAATAATTATGGTGGTTGGTAGTTTAACATTTGTTTCTTCACAGCTTTAGGCATGGAACCACCCCCAAAGTCGTAATAATATACAAACGACTTAATATTCAGGTAATGTTAATACTTAAATGCATGTACCAAACGTACACATTTATGACACATACGGCAAGAATAATGCTATTTATTATTATAATGGTGGAATATCGATGGTATGACAATTTATGTGGAATAATGTGATTGAACAATTCAATTTTTATGAGAAGGAGGAGGGGGAGAGAGAAATGTAAAGGATAATGAATTGACACATTATCAATATTCCATCATCATAAAGATAAATATCATTACTCTTTGGCAATGCTTCTCTTTTTACTTTTACTTCTTATAAAAAAAACTTCATTAGCGTGCACCCTCTAAAAAATCTTGTAATCAGGCAAAACACTTTTAGGCTATGTTTGATAGCCATTATTTTGCCTAGAACTAGGAAAATAATTTCCATTTTCTCCATTTTGGCTTGTTTGAT